TGTACGAGTAACCTCTTGTCATTTTGCCCTCCAGGACCTGAGCTAATTTGCGTGGAATAAAATGTTTTGAAAATTAACTGATATACTGGTCTGATCATTGTTGTTCTATTAAATTATAGCCTGCCAAATGAGTGGTGTATAATAGTTACATACTGTACCATTCCCTTATTTATGATGGCATGGTGATTTTTTGAAAAAAACTTCTCCAGCACATTTCTAGAGAGCACACTGGAGATGCCTAATTAGCAGGCAGGAGATGGTCCATGCACCACGGGCATCAGTAGACTTAGAGTGCAGGGAGACTTCAGCAATGAAAAACAAAGCCTCTCTCCATTCTCCAGACCTCATTTTCACCTTCTTTCATAGCTGAAATTAAAAGTGTTAATTAAATGACTTTCTGCTGCATAAACTCCCACGGATTAGTTAGTAGTTTACACTTTAACACATGGGAATTGACTCGCAGTATTAAAACACAAGTAGCTTAGAAATGTTTGTCTTCAACTTGCAGAACCCAATGTGAAAAAACTTGTCCATAAAATGGGTTTTTTAGACGACAAAACGACACTTAAAAATACCTAGCCTGCTCATGCAGACAACTAGGCATAAAACTAACTTCTCCTGCATATCTAACACAATGCTAAAATTATAAAGTGTATTTTCCATTTACACAGTCCCAGAAGTTTAGAACACTGACACACAGCAGCACCTTATGTATCCTGGTAAGGGGAAACTCTTGTCAAAGTCCCACACTAGAGATGGGGACTCAACTGGGAACAACTTGGCAAAAAACCCTGAAATTTTGAAAATGTCTTTTCCACATGTTTATTCATAGCTGATGAAGAATGCTCTTTCAGCATGTATTTTGATAGCATATTTTATTTTACAGTGTGCAACAATGGTAAATTGAACATATTGCTTGAGAAATGCTTAAGGTCTAAACATTACAAAATATACAGGCAAAAGTTTGCTCATTTTAGCCGAATAATTCAATAGTAATGGCAACATTCTACTCTGAAATCACATGAAATACACATGATAGATAAACAAGTCTATTTTTTCACAACTTGCAAAAGCATCATGCTGGAACATTGCACTCATCATACTAGCCAAAATGAAGCCCAGCCTCAGTATATGCTGAGTAAGATTCCTTTCTTGCTACCAAAGCACTCACACAGTAAGAACTGCAATCCAAACTAAGAAGGGATGTATTCCAGTTTAAAAAAATAAACTAATTAAAAAGCCCCACAATATAATGCAGATTACTTTTCATACCAAGAAAATCGGGATTTTTAGTCAGCATTTAAACACTTTTTTCCCCCCAAATAAATACTAAATAGAATATACAATCACTGCCAAATGAAAGTGCCCAGGTCAAGCATTTGTTTGTAGGCGTACAAGTATATACATAAAACACATACAGAGATAAATACAAAGAACACGAGCAATGTATTGCAATAACAGCTCTCTTCTTAAAGACAGATTTATGTAACAGCATAAAACTTGGAAGTTATCTTTACTACTATTAAAAGCTCCCCAGTATCTCTAGATGTCTGCCTTCAATAAATCCTGGAAGCATTCTGCTCACATACTGAGTTTTAAGGAATGTGCAGCATATGTCAGCTTCAATAAAATCAGTACAGTTCTTTAATTACTCCATTCACCCAGCAGCTACTTTAACAAAGTATTTCTCTGAACATGTAAAAATGTAAAATACCCAAAAAACCAGTCATCTATGTACAATAACCACTCAGCATCTAACAATAATGGATATACTGAAGGACAAAAACGTGAGTTGTGCCAAGCCCATATTTCTCAGTGACTGACTGTAAAGCATTTCGAGTCAGCACTAAGCTTTTAAGAATCTAATCCTAATCAATTGTAAACAAAGAAATAAAGATCATGTCACAATATACAATGCAGTTGAGACAGCCACAATGCACAGAGTGTCATCATACCATTTCAGAAGACTTTAAGCATTCTCCCAAACAGAGTAACACCTTACCTCATCAGAAGGCTTCAGGTTCTGCCCACACAGAGTAACACCTTTCACTTCAGAAGGGTGCAAACTTCTATCCTTCTTGTTCTTTAGCCCAGCCCTTTATACCCTCCTGTTAATGCCCTGCACCTGTGTGCCCATCATGGTTCATGCATTTCACCTGTGTGCCCCTCACTGTCCATGCCCTGCCCCTGTGTGCCCCTCACTGTCCATGCCCTGCCCCTGTGTGCCCTCTGCTCCCTTTGGTGGTTGCTCAGTGCCCCTGGGCACTCCATGGCTCATTGCTGTCAGTGCTGCTCACCTGCTGCTCACAGCTGCAGCCCATTGGGGATGAGGCTGGGCCAGCCCCACCCCAATTATCACAAACTGGGCACCTACAAGATCTCACAGTTACTTCTAAAATCTTAAACACTAGCACCTAACTTAAAATACTTTTCTTGCTTTTTCTGATTTGCACAGCATTCTTCCCAAGTAAAATATGGACTTCTGCGTGAAAACAGGCTTGTATATACAAGCTGAAAAATAACAACACCTATTTAAACACATGAGCTAATTATACCTGGCATTTTGGACTTTGGTGGTAATGTATTGATTGCCACAGAGCAGAACATACCCCTGTTGGCCAAAACCAAAGGTGCACAAGATTCAGAAATCTACACGGAGACAACCTCTCCCCTTCTCCAAACACTTCTGCCCAAAAGTCTTTTCATGGTACAGGACAGCAAACACCATCTCCCCAGGCTGTAGGGCACTTGGAAAAGTATGACTTGCACACATTTGGTGACAGCATGGCAACAAAAAGCCTATTAAACAGAAAAAAGGCAGATAACTGGATACAATCAACTTGCAATCATTTTCTTGTAATGTGTTAGTGAATGGATGCCAGCTAACTAATCTTAGTAGAGAGCAAACCTAATTTATCCACAGCAGGATGTTGTCAGATTATTTTCAACCTAATAATTATTTCTAGCAGAAAGGCAATGTTACACTTTGTAGAAGTAGACACTCTGTAGAAGACACTTGCCCTGGAAAAGATGTTCATGCGCTGTTTGATTAATGTGGATGGGGCGAGGATGGATGAACCAGATAAACCCACCTCAGCCAATGAAACACCCCACAGGAGCAAGCAGTCAGGTGAAAGAGGATCTTTGAAAAAGGCATGGCACTAGGAGACAGGAACATTCCCAATGCCTTTCCCAATCTTTTTTTGAAGATAATTAATTACCTTTGGGTAACTTTTCAGTGGAAGCTGCTATTCTATTCACATATATTTGCCACACTGAGACTTCGCACTCCCTTCCAAGCCAGAAGGATGTCTAAGATGACCCAGTCTGACCCCAGGTGTTGCAAAAGCCACAGAAGCCAGTGAGGTATTCCTCTACCACCCCCAGCCATTTGTTCAAGCTTATACTTCTATAAAAATATCATCTTCATTCAAAAGATAGAAAATCTAATGTTCACTTTCTAATAATTTCTAATGATTCATTGGTCTTATTAAAAGTTTGCTCCTTAGTTTGTCATAAGCTGATTTTTATCTCTGTGTATTGTCAACACATATTGCTGTAAAAATGTTGTGTTATGTCTGGAGTATGCAAACAGTCATATAAAATCAAGTGTTCCATTACAGATGCAAAGATTATTGTCAGGAATGCACTTTTTATTCAATCAAGTTAGAACTGAAATTAAAGGAGTTAGAAAGTAACCATACAGTACCAGTTAAGAAGGTAAACTATGTTTTCTCCAACATATTTGTGGAGAACTTATATAAATGTCATGTGTTTATAATACTAAACACACCCTTATGATTGGGATTCCTGATAGATTCAGACCATATTCAACAATCACCAAAGAGCCAGGAAGTCTACCTGAAACCAACCTCTTATTTAGAATATTTATAAGAAAATCTGCCTTCCCTGAAGTTTTACTTTGTTGTCTTTTTAGCACTACATAAACAGTATGGCAGTTTAACTATAGTATTTGATGGTTTTAAGTGCTTGGATGTAAAATTTTACTCATCAGCTTAACATCCATGACAGTGCTCTATGTAAGATGTTATTTTGCACTACTGGTTTACCTGTGTATTACCACTTAGGCAGGAAAATAGATTCCTAGGCAATCACAAGCATTTCCTTAAACATTTCAATCTCAGTACTTTAATAATCCATTTTAAGATAAAAAGTCATATGGATTATGGGTTGTCTCAGAAAGCTGGGGAGGTCATTTACACTTAGTTCATGGCCAGGGGAGACATGTGACAGTCATCACTCCTGAACCCAGCACTGAGAGCTCAGCCATGGCTCAACCCTGGGCTGCTGCAACAGGGCTCAGCTCTCACACCCTGGAGCTGCCCCTTCCTCCCACACCTGGCACTTGATTTTCTTCCCTTCCATATGTACAGCATGGCCACTGCATATTCCTCATCCTTTACCTTAAGGACAAATAAAAGATAATGGCCAACTCAAAACCTGAGCTGGAGGTTCAGTCCTTTCTGTCACTGTGTTTTCACCTGGCAGTGCCCCAGGAGGAGACACAAGCAGTGCTGCTGTTCTCAGCTTTGTCTTGTTCTTTGTATGCCCAGGAAGGCACCTACACTCCACAAGAAGGGTCAGTGTGGAAGAAGCTGTTCAGTGCACTGCTTTCACTCACTATGTCTCTGAGTACTAAAGATTATCCATACCATTGTAATTCTGGCACAGGGAATAGCAAGAACTTGGATGCCTCACCAGACTCCAGCATCTACTGATTCAACACTGTAGAAAAGCAACAGCAGCCACTCCTGCTGGAGCTGTTCTCCCTTCTCCACTCAAGGCAGCTGATGTGCCAAAAGCAGTTCTCCTGAGGCATGTGTTGGCTGAGGCAGCCTCTTTGATGAGTAAAAAATGTGTTCTCCAGAAAATGCAAACACTTGTACCATTCCCACACCTTGACCAGAAACATTTTCCTGAAATAGGTGCCTGGCACGTACACACACACACCAGTTCTCTCCCCCCATCCTGGCACACACAAGGAGTAAGTCAAAGAGCATGGGTTTATTCTGCATTATCCAGGGTGTCCCTGGAATGTGAATATTATGCATGACAGATCTGCACAGCTTTCTAACACGTCCAATTTTTACCACATCCGAGAGATGTAACCGCACCTGCTGAAAAGGCGACACAGCAGGGCCAGCCCTCAGCAACTCTTGTCAACACAGCACCCTTCCCAGACATGACGTCTGCACAGCTGGTCTGTGCACGCCCTGTCCTTTCATCACACTGACCCAGGGCACTGATAACTAATATTTGATAACAGGATTCACTTTGGCTGAAGCCAGTCTGCGTGTGCTCAGGGAAACAGCTCAGTCTGCTTCCCTAGCAGGGAGAGAATGGGCAAGCAAGCGTGCACGAAGCCTCCTTCTTTACCCAGCACAGCTGCTGACAAAGGAGCCTGTATCTCTCGCCTTCTCTGAAGTTAATCCCACCAGTTTAAAGCAGACTTGTGAAAAAGCATGAATCTGAAGTTACTCTGAAATGCTACTCCAAGGACACATTAGTTCCACTAGAGTCAAAGTACGCGCCAGACGCAATAGGTCGAGTTCTAGTCGAAGAGATTGCACAGAAAGTAAGAGCTAATAATTCTTAATTTGGCATAACATGACATTCCCAACAGCTTCTCTCTCTCCTTCCAGTAATTGTATCTTGGCAGTGTACATATTAAAAAATCATTGCACAAAAGACATGTGCTGTTGGGGAAAAAAAAAAAAAAACAAAAACCAAGACACCTTTCTGTTGTGTCATTCCAAAAACTGAAGACACCTTCACTGAAAGGGAAAATATGCTGCTCAAAACACAAAATGGACAAAACCTCATTCATTTGTTATTTGTTTAAGAATTACTAAAAAGAAAATTTTTGCAGGAGGTTAGGGCAACAATAATTCAGACATTAATAAATTAAGCATTGTAACACTAAGTATTCCATTGAATAAAAGAATTCCAGCAAGAAACTTTTCACATGGCATTCAACAGATGTTAAAATAAATGAATGATGCAAGTTAAATTACTTCAAAAATAGACTTTCCAGCCTTTTACCATAATGACAACATTCAATAGTAAGATACAATAGCTCTTTGTAGCCTAAAAACTGTGGTTTTATTTTACAAAAATTACTTCCAAAAGCATCTTGTCATGACAATTGGGTTTTGAGGAAAAAACAACCTGTCATTTGATAAACAGTAGAAATTAATTGTCATTAAAGCCACTTAAGCACTCCTCCTTCCTGTTATACTTCTCATCTTGGCAGTAACTGGTAAGATTTCAGGGAGGCTCAGTCATTGATGGCAGGATCTAGAAAAGAAACAATTTTGCATACAGTTATTCTTGTTCCCAGGTTCCAGTTATTGTATTTCACCAACCTGCACTCAATTGGCTTCCTTCTGCCCCTGGCATGGGCACAGTGGACCATATAAATCACTGTTCCCTGTTACAGCTTACCCCATGAAAATATCCAGGTGGCTGCAATCCTGTGGTGTTAATATCACACACAAAGGTAACAGTAACAAAGTCCTGGTAACAGAGCCCTGTTATCCAGCAACTGTGAATTGCTAATACCAGCCAGTGCTTTAGCCAACAGGGACCAGACATTACTCGTTATCATGCAGTTCATTACTTATGGAACATGGTTGAACTTGAGCCTGTAACTTCTGGAAAATGCACCACTCATCCACAGGAACATACCAACAAAATAAATGGAGAACCAGATGCAATGGTTACAGCAGAATTAGAGAACAGGCAAACTAAAACTGCACATTTCCTTCCCCTGTTCCCTCCCAAAAAATATTACCCAAGATTTTTTCTGACTAAGCAAGCAGCTTCAAGAGGAAAGGAGGACATGGATTGGGCAAAGAAAAAAGCTCTGAGCCTTGCATACCCAGACTAAGTCCCGTTCAACCCCAGGAGGTTGTGTGCATGGCAACCCCATTTCCAACATACAGAGTAATTAATTGTATTCCCACATTAAAGCTACCATGGCACACCTCCACCTTGGCAGATTTCTAGCTGGCTTTAATCCTTTCCACCCTCCACATGCCAGGTTCCTCACACCAACTGGCCCTCAGTGACAGCTGAGTTTTCAATGCCATACAGTACCTTGATGCAAATGGGTTTTGCCCTTTTTTCCACCTTTTGCTAGGCTACACTGCCACTTAGTCACTGCACTGACATAACAACTCCACCTTCTCTGCTGCAGTGCAGCTGTACATCCACTGATGTGACAATGGAAGTGAGGGCTTCATCCCTACAGGAACAGAGCTGCCTTTCAGTTTGCAACTTGCATCATTTTCATGCTGAGGACAGAGCATATGGTCCTTCGAAGGGACATCAAAATAAATATGACAGGTCAGTGCAATCATCATACTGAATGAATTCAAATGATGCCGTATCTAAAATGAAATGTGTGCACATAATAAAGATTCAAATGACAAAAAAATTCCCCTACCCTTTATCCTTCTCTGAATTATTTATGAATTCTGCAACTCCAGCTGTTGCCACCAGCCCAAGGACACTACTTCATTTTGGGAATGACACTTCATATTAAAAAATAAGTTAACAAAAGGAAACAAAAAAAAAAAAAAGAAAATAAGGACACTGCGGGCTTTAAAGACCACAGAAAAGCACAATACATCTTTTCCCAGCTCTTACAAAGGAAAATAATCAACAATCAATTCTGTTCATGTTTCTCAACTTGTTTCCATAATTCCAGACAGAGATTTCAACACTCATGCATTAAGTCAGCCATGCCTTTTTAACCATTGCAGTTAAGCAAGACACTCACAGGATCTTGGATCCCTCACAGATTTTTATAGGGTTATCTCAGTCTTACAGTTCACCATAAGCCATATGCCAACACACCAAAGAGTGTGATACTATCTGCACTACTGACAGCTTTTAATACATAAAATGGTCATTCCAAAAGAATAAAATATTTGCATGTATGGAATTGATTTTGGGAAAGCAATAATTTGTCCACAAATTGAAACAAAAAGAAGCAACACCTTCAAAGTGCAGTTTAGGGCACAAAGAATTGGTTTCAATAATCATGACATTTACATGAGCAAATTCTACATAGAGCTGTCTGCCCACTTGCAGACTGCTCTGATTTGGATTCCATCACACCTTAGTTCTTAGATTTCAAATAAGTAATTTGGCAATGGGAAGGAGGCAGCATGGAGAAGGCTTAGCCAGCAAGCACAATTTCCATCACCTACAACAGCATGTTCTCATCTCTCACTTCAAACTAAACTTGTTTTAGTTGGCTGGTCTGTAGAGCAGATAGATAACACAGAGGCTGAACAAACAGGAAAAGAAATTTATAAATCCACCATTGGTTTTGGTTGCTACTTTGTTCATAATGGAATCAAGATCTGAATTGTTACACAAAACCACCTACAAGAACATACTGATGCACTGTGTTCACTGTGATACTGACTGAAATGGTCAAAATTAGCAAGTTGCTCAGTGCTGAGGGACATACAACCCCTACACAGGAGCCCTTCATGACTGACCAATAGCCTCATTTCTGCCACAAATGATATCATTCTGTTTTCTACCCATGATCTTAATTTCAGTGTTTTCTATCTTTACCTAACTGAACAGCAATTGGGCTTATGTTCTGCTCCTAGGAGATTCCAAATGCCACAAGAACTTTTAACCAATTAATTATTTAGCATTTTTTGTCTGAGGTTTTTATTTTCTCCTCCATAAAAGTGGACTAACGGTTGTCCCAGTTCTAACACAGAAAGATGTATGAATAAACTGCAGAGCTTCCAAGGCACCATCATCGGACATCTCCAGTATCACCCACAAATTAAAATAAAAAGCCAAAACCACACCATTTGCCTTTAGTGCCATGGACATGGTTCAGGTCTGAGCTGGAATGTCAGATATTCAATAAATAAACTCATCATTGAGAAAGGCAGCAAAGGCAGAGTTGTTGCCTGTCTCACAAGTGAAAAATGCCAATGGCATGCAAGCAGGGATCTGCTGTTACTCAGTTTGGTACCATGAGCTCATGCAGCGTTATCCAGGAAAAGGAGATGTTGTTAAAACAAACATTTATTTGCCCTTCAGTCTACAGCAGAGCTGGCACCCAGCCCTGAACAGTCAGTCTCCCTCTTCCTCGCTACTGTGGGAAAGCTACTGAACAAGAATCCCCCCCTTCCATCTCCTGCTGTTGGCCAAAGAAACAAAAAGGTACAGAAACAAAGAACAGGCAGAGAACCTGAGGTGTGTAAAATGTCACTGAGCAGGAAGTTAAGGTTCAACACTGGAACATTTGTAGACCTCTTGCAACATTTACAAGAGCCCCAAATTCTCCTGTTGTCACAGCTATATATTTCAGTTTATTAAAAATTATTAATATTCTGCAATATTTCAGAAATATGCACTACAATTATTTAGTTGTAACCCACTCAAACGTTCATCACACTTTTTTTTCTGAAAACTAGCAAATTAAAAACAGGAACATATCTCACATTCCAGGGTTGCCATTTAACTCTCAATGCCACAGGTTCTCAAGTGCCTCCTGAAATAGTTTCTAGCTGTGCTAAAGGAATGACATTTGGAAAAAAATCACCTGTGTGCTGATAGGAAAACATCCTTCTGAAGATTTTCACAAGCTAGCTGGATGCAATTGAAGTTAGTCCTCAGAAAATAAGAAAAGTCGTCTTCATGCCCAAACATGCTCACTAAATGCTTCTGGCTATGACATTATTTCATAATTGACACATTACACACAAACAGCCCAAGAAAATATCTTTTTGTCTATGTCTGGATTACACGGCTATTTATACCCAGAGCTTCTGCAGAGCCTTCCCCATGTTGCACGATGCTCTTGAATACAAATGACCAATTGATCCTTTCACATGATAGGGTGGGGGATTTTTTAGTGTTCAATACTTCTAATGTTTAAAAAAATTGCACCTCAACATGGTCTTTAATCCTTACCCTGAACAATTTGAGTACATTTGTATTAATCTATTAGATGCTTTTCCACACCACACCTATGGCACTGCATAAATTACTGTAATTTAAATGAATTACTGCTTCACAATTCTCATATGGTAAGAAACATGCAGTATTATATGTTATGGAAAGAAAAATGTGCATTATGGTAACTAAGTTTTATACCACAGTATATCTAGGTGCTCATAAACCAGCCATTCTAAACTGTTGAAGGACAATATTAGACTGATCACACAGAACACACATCAGTATGTCAAAAAGTCAATAATAGGAAATTAAATCTACAGTTTGTTTAGATATATTCCCATGCCCATATTGAGATTCCACATTAAAAATGCCATTAGGCTTGCTGAAGAATATTACTGCAAAAGATATTTACACCTATAGTAATTCTATCTCTGCCCTGGATAACTTGCATTTTCCTGTGTTTAATCTACTGAAACATATTGAAGAAAAAACAACTTGGAGAAAATAAAAAAGAAAAAATAAACAGTAAAAAAACCCTGAAGTTCTTTTGTTACACTACTCCACTTATTACCAATGTTCAAGGATGACTTGTTTAAGACTGCACATTTCAACTACCTAACAGTAAAGAATGAAAAGCTTCTTGCTACAAGCTAAAAAGAAAGTCTTTACCATGCTCCTTGAAGAGCTCATTTTCACATTACTCAGGCTTCATTATGCTGAATCAATATTCGTTTAGTCACTGGGTTATTGACATATTTTAAAATAAAAGTATACCCTTCAGCTACTGCACTCATTACGGGTAATTTGTCTTGTCAGGGAGCAGGGAATATTATCCCAGTCTTTCAGGGGCTGACAGCCCATGGAAATACCTCCCCTTGGTTACAACTGTAAATAATTTTAAGGTAAAATATTGAAAAATCAATGACTGTTTCCTGCAATCTGTCACAAACAAATCAATCATAATCTGCACAGCCAGAGAGTATGATTTGAAGGAGATGAGAGCAGATGTAATTCTTGGCTGGAATCTCTCATTTCAAAATCACCTCACATAATGGTGTCATCATTTAAACACTTAGCAGTCACTGCAACTGCCACTCATAACATCTAGTTGGACAAAACCAAAGGAAGAGAAGGAGAAATGCCACTGCTGTTATGTAAACAAACACTTTATTTCAATGGTTGCAACATTAGCAAATTTCACAGATATAACAACAAGGCTTGCCCCTCCACAAACGTCCAAGGTGCTTTTCCTTCTCAGTGGAAGACTGCCTACAAATGAGCCTCTCCAAATGCAAAGCACTCTGAATTTTAAAACCAAACTATGCCTCATAAAAGGTGAGAAATAATATCTGGTACTAATACTACCTCTAAAAATATTTTATTCACTCCAAATTGCTCATAACAGAATTATGCATCAAATTCTTAAGAGATTAAGACAGGAGAATTATCTGAGGTACCTTTGTCTTTTTAAGAGCAATAAGGATTTCAATGCTTCTTTGTCCTCTACATATTACATTTCACATCTAATTTTCATTAAGCACACACTGACTCAACTTTAGGGCAGGAACCACTGCAAAGTATGTACGAAAGAAAGTCATAACCTACATAAATTAATTGCTAATATATTTTCAACTTGCATTCAAAGTTAAATGTTGTATATGGAATTACATCTGTATAAAGGATCAATTTATACATAAATAATTAGCTACTGCACTCAGAATGCTATAAACTGACCTTTGTAAATGTGAATAAATTGTGTAAAACTAATTTATTTTTACAGAGTAACACTTATGCTTACACTAAAATTATTTCCTCATTTGTCCCCCCACCTCACTACATTTTCACCCCAACATTACAGTGTTTAAAAGAATTCTCTGCAGATAAAACAGGATAAAACTGTTGTGCAACTGCAACCACAGGCCTAAGACTGTATTTTTTGCACAAAAAAAATTTACAAATGCTCATGGAGTGTTTCCCTCTGGAGTCTATAATTTGAGCTCTTAATCTTTAATGTGCAGAGCCCGTTATCATATACTCATTTTAATCACATTAACCTTAGCAACTCCTAATTCTGAATATTTATCTTACAACTGTGAGACTAAGAAAAAAATGCAACCAAAAAGATGAAATTATTTTCTCTTTTCTTGAAAAAATCCCTTAATACTGTTTTTAAAAATCAAAGAATAGGGCATATTGTACATCTAAGTAAACCTCTCCAAGGTTTGCCTTCCTTTAAAGCAGGCTTTAAGTCTCTTTATCTTCTACTTGGAAAACATACATCTCTAACTCTTTATTGATATACATCAAAACCACTATTGTTTGTAGCAGCTGGACAGATTCCCTTTCTCAGCAAAATAAATTATTAAAAAAAAAAAAAGAAACTGAAGTCTTAAAGAAGCAGTTAGTGCCTTAGAGGCTAACTAAGTGTAAATATCAGCCATGAAGAAAATCAGCTTATTGTGGGGAAAGGCCACTCCACAGCCAAAGGAAGCAGGAGGAGGCAGTGGGTGAGCAATTGCTAAAAACCAAAGTAGCTCCTAGAAATGAGTTGCAGTTCCCCACTCTTTCCCTGGATGAGATCTGTAATGAAGCTATCCAATAGACAGCCCCAGGCTCCTCAGCCCCCTCACACGTCCTCCCTGGCCCAGGGACAGTGACAGAGGGAAGCCCTGCTCCCCAGGCTGAGCCATTGTGCGAGGGGAAGCGCGGCGCGCGCAGAACGTGCCGGCAGCTTCCCCCGGTGCCATTCCCCTGAGCCAGCTTCTCATTTCTTGTGACAATCACCTAATTAGGTGGGTCAAGAATTGCAGAAGATAGAAGAGATTCATTCTTCCTTACATGCCAGCTCTGCTATTTGTAAAAAGGAAGGCAATGGCTCTTCTACTCCATTGTAAGGCACTTAATAAATGTTAATAATAATTAAGTCAGTCACATCTCCCAGACAACACAGTCAGTTCTTTTTTTGCAGTATTTCAGAACTATTTGGCTCAGGAGGGAGCTCCCACAAGCTCCAGACAGAAAAGGACTCACAAATTCCATCCTTCAATGCAAGAGGTCACAGAGGGCTGTGCCACAGCAGACATTTCACAAGCCCTGAGGAGCAAGAGCAGCACATGCTGCTGCACTACAGATGTTAATAGGTCAGCACTGAGAGTGCAATTTCCTGCTGGACAAAGCATTAAGATGCTCTAACAGCTAGTAGGACTGTGAAGTCTTTCTGGTTAAGAAGTTTAACTAGATTCAATTTCTTGAATGAAAAGATGTTGTTTGTTTTTTTGGTGTTTTTTAATATCTCTATCAAGAAAAAAAAGCACTACTGGTTATGCAAAGAGCTGAAAAAAGAAAGACACTGGATTTGAAGAAGCTGTGAGCATTTCCTCTAGTACCCACCTTCTCCACTTACTGCTCTCACTCATAATGTTCATTTAAGTCACTGGCATATGTTCATTTATTTAATGCAGCTCCACATGATCACTAAACAACACAGCAATGCCATATTACATCATGCAACATTACTGACATGGCATTATTAGCAATACTCTACCTAATGAAGTTTATAAAGTCTTCATGTTTGGGCATTACAGAAAGATGAAGAATGCTGCTTTGAAATAGCTCCTGCCTTCCAATTCTGTCCTTCCCTTCTTCAGCATTGCTGAGACCATCTCACTGAGCTCATCTGGAGACAACAAAAACAGAAAAAAACAACATATGTGCACAATATTACATGCACTGTGCAATTTTCTCAACAGAAATGGAATAAAGTTGATGTATCTGGAAACATTAATTCTACATTTTGTAAGTGACTAAACCCAGCACTACAAAGGGAAGTGCCCCAGCTCTAATGCTTTGCTTAATGAATCATATCATACTCATAGCAGATTACTTACCATTAACTCTGAACAGGACTTAATACGGTTAAAAATACTGCAAGCCCAGCTGCATTCTGGCTTTCTACTGGGTCACTTCCCATATTCAGGCAGGTACAGGATAGGATGGACTGCTGGGTTCATTTTCCCCACTGTGCATCTCACTGCTTCTCTCTTGGGTGCAATCTAGAAAGGCAAAAAAAAAAAAAAAGGGATATGTGGACAATAGGGGCTGGAACAAAAACACAGCATTTGTCACTAATTCAGACAGCATGTTTCTCTGACAAACAAGGATTACAGACTGAGCAATGCAAGGGTTTCTTCACCCATTGGTCCTGTATGTTTGTTAAATCCCACAGACACTATGTTAGTGCCACATCCCACTGGATGGTGTTCAATCCTGCACGTTCCAAGAGGTGCACCACGAACAGGTGTCCATGGAAGTCCAAGATCTGAGCAATATGGTGGTTTAATGGCATTTTGCTAATGAAATAGTGGCAGCATTGATCACTTGCTCAAAAGCACAACAGTCTAACAATTATATGAGCATGGACACCAATTTCCATCTGAACAATTCTGAGACAAGCAGAGCTCCTGTTAGGTAAACTGAGGCCAAGGTTACACGAACAAATCTAGGTCATAGGATGTGCCAGGAACATCCAAGCAAGGAGAAAACAAACCCAGGTCTAGCCCCTTGCCTGCTATCAAGTCTTCCAATCCCTTCTCAGCCAGCCTAAAAGTCTCTCCACCCTACCGCAGCCTCCTCCCAAAGAATGGATAACCTGGATGACCTCAGCTTAAGTTTTACTTAGGGACACAGCAGCACAGTGTATATTACAGGGAATATCAGCTGAACTTTAACTGAAGCAATAAATTAAATACTGAAATAAACTTAAGAAAAAGCATAAAGGAAAAAAATACCTTTAAAATTACTTTTGAAACTTAGGCTCTACAGAGCTGTCCTCTTCCCAAGAGACATTCATGAAACCTAATGCCCACAGGAGCTGGGAGACAGCAAGGTCCTTCCTAGATAAAAGCCAGAAAGTCAGCACAAACAAAGCAATTCTCACACTGCCAATATCATAAAGAAGTCATAGGCACCTTTTTATAATGACAGAGTATTCTTAATAAAAGCTTCAAGCAGGTTTTACAGCTGCATATTATCCAATGAAACCAGTAATAAACAGCACTGTAGAATTATTTAGTGCAACTCCAATACGCTGAGAGTCTCAAGCTGGGTTTTATTTATCACACAGGCTAAAATGTTTGTTCTTGGCTTTACAGTAGCAGCCAAGCCTGTAGCTATCTTTTATCCAGCACACTGCCATCTGGATATTGATACTTTGCTATGGGATATGAAAGAAGAGCATAGTTACCTAATACAGCTTAATTGAAAACACAGGACCTACATATTATACCGTGCATTATTTTACACAAAATTAAATCTGAAGGGCATGAAAATTTCTGTAGATGTCAGCAGAGAATATTTCAGAGGTAAATGCTGTGTTCGTCATCTGCGCTAGAAATGCTAAAAAATACTGTGAAAAATATGTGCTTACAAGAAGAAAAAGCTCGGTTTTGCTCTGTTGGGAAAAAAGAAATTGCTCAGAAAAGTGCATCTCCTTCAAGAAGAGCAGGAGAGTAATCAGTCACATATTTATTAGCACAGTAAACTCTGTTATAGTGATCCATATTCACCTTTCCATATTCACCTTGAAAGGTGAATATGGTTTGTTTTTCTCCTCAAGCAATGATTTAATAATAAAAAAAAAAAGAAAAAATGCTGGTTCTATAAATACATTCACTTTAATCTGCAAAAAACAGCTTTAAGAATCACCTACATCTGCACCACTCACATTAAGGAATACAGACTAAAAAGCTCTAATAAAACCCCAGAAATTATGAACTGTTAAAAAGAATTCCTTGGCTGTAAGGCCAGAAAGGCTACCTGGCTTTATGTTTCTCCTCAGAGAGGTACTGCTGAGCTCTTGCAAACACCAGTCATAAAGACTGCAAATATATGTAAGTAAAGTAGATAAAGCACAAAACCTTTGGAACACAACGCTGCTATTAAGACACTCATCTCTGACACCCACACTGAAGGCCAGATTCCAGCTGCAGGAGCTCCCACCACACTGCAGAGCCTGCAGGCAAAAGGGAATTTGCTACCATGAGGGAAGCTATGGGCTCAGGGAGATCCCATAAAACAGCACAGGGAGCCACAGCCATCCTTCCCACTGAACTGCTCCTCATTTGCTGTAAGAGCCAACTAACAGTAGATGTGGCTGGCTTTAAGTGAAAAACTTGTTCAAGACATGAAAGAAAGCAGTTTTTCACTTTTCACTCAGAGTCTATTTTCTGCATATGTCCATGGAACTGTAAGTAAAATAAACCCTAAAGACATTCTTAACTTAGTCCATACTATACCAACAAATTCAAGCAAATAATGCCATTTAAGTTAATTACAGGAAACTTCAAGGAAACTGAAATGCAGTTTCAGGTTCTCCCATGATACTGTCAAGATCTTTGGAGTTACATGCTCAGTACAATAACTAGGTGCTTGAAAGGCTTGTCAGCTGCACTTCTGTATTTTATTCCACACACTAAAAAGGCTGCTGAAGCAATTTCTTAAAAAAAAATAAGACTGGAGCTGATAATCACACTTCTTTTAGCAGACAAGAAGTAATTTAAAATAGAAAGGCTTGGAGAGAAAAACAAAACTCAAAGCTACCTAATACCCAAATGCTAGGCACAGAAGAGAAATTCTAGGTGTTCACGAGTTTACACCTCTCTCTCAGACCACAAACACAGAGCGTGTGAACAAGGAGCATCTCAGGCAGAGGAAGTTCAGGAATAAGAAACAACAGAGCACTGAGGGTGTCTTGCCCAGAGAGCTCCTCCTTGACCCAGGCTGAGAGCCACAAAACACCAGCACTTCCACTGCACCTGGAACTCCCAGCACAGCACCTGAGGGAAGCAGCAGCAGTGTCTGCAGGAAAGGGCCCTAAGTTTTACAGCCAATATTTTACATGCATTTTTTTAGCTCTTGCCCAGTTAATAATGTATTGATTTAACATAGAAATACACAGGCCCCTCCCTCCTCTTTGCACACTAATTAGTTTTACTTCTATGGTAGTGCACAGATGAGAAAGAAAATTTTCTCTTCATGCCTAATTAAAAGAATGAATATTCACATGTATTTATTTTTCTCTTATGAGTTGTTAATACTTTAAAATATACTGTATGAAACATCCCTTATCAGATGTTTCCAGCAGTAATTTCCCCTACCATCTGAGTCTCACAGATTTTTTTTTTTAATAGGACAGCTTTAACTGAAACAGGGTATCTTGTAGAGGAATTACTATTTTTTTTTTCTTTAAGAGGACTCCCTTTAGGCTCACGTACATAATTGTTGGGTAATACTGTCCCAAACTGAACTGGAGAAACGAATTCAGTGTCTAAGGTCAGGTATTCTGATAAAGAATTATCAAAAAGGTTTTGAGAAAACAGCCTCCTTCTCATCTACCCCTGTAACAAGAAAAAAAAAAGGAAAAAAAAAGTTGAAATGATCTCCTAATGCATCTCCCTTCATAATTCATGCCGAAAGATGACATTTTCTCAGGATCTTAATTAAGATAATGATGAACACCTGTGTCGGCATTCTTTGGCAAGGCAGCATTATCCATCATAATCTTTTAAGTACTCTCAAAAAAACCCAACAAAATCGTATGAGGGAACCAATCTGTTGCCTCTCCTTGCACTAAGTTTTACATCTCAGACACACAGAAGAACGATTAGATCTTTAAGGACTGCAATAAAAACAGGATCATTAGATTTTAAAGTTTCAACAGAAAGTAGCTATTAAATTAATTAAATTAAGGTGTATCATATCCAAGATAGCCAAGTTTAACTCCATTCACTATAAGCCACCTGGAACCAAACCACTTACAGTTAGAGCATACCAAGAGCTGTACTTTTAAACTATAGTTTGCTGTTACTTTTAGGATCATTCTGCCTCTTTCCATTTGTTTCTCCCAGAAAGAAAATATTCTCAGCTGTACATTCATGCCCTGATTTATTAAGCCATTTTATGCTGTACTCCATTTACACAATCTAAATGAAATCATGCAAAAGAAACCAGCGTAGAAAAAACAAATATGCAAATCTAAATGTTGCCATATTTTGGGTCACGTTTTGTGCGGTAATCTCAAATCCAAGTTCCTCTCATACCAAAAACCCTACTGGAGTCCAACTACTAAACTAACCAATGACCCTTTTAACAGCTTTGCAGGACCAACCGATCAGACTGAAGGCTATAAAAACAGGGACTTTAATTATTTATTTGCAGAAGCTGAATCTAAATTCACATGAGTAAATTTAAATAGCATGAACAGGGCACAGCCAGACTGTAAATCTTTCCCACTGTTAAATAAGATTTTAAGGGCAAGTGTTTTTTCTATTGCATTAGCAATTTATCTTCCAAAAAATTATGAGAAAAAATATACAAAGTCCAGAATTTTAATATCAACCTGCACTGTTATAGTTTCATTGGCAGCTGCAAAATGCACAAACTCCTAATGCCAAGAACTCATCCATACCTTCAAATGCACGCACGTTCAGCAAAAATGCAGAGAAGCACCAAATGCATCCTCAAGCCCCACGTTTGTTAACAGCACTGATGAACAACATAAGAGTCTTGAAACAAACTTCTTATTTCCCTTCCAGCAAGTGGTTGAAAAGTCCTGCAAAGCAGATTAGTCTTAGGCTTTCACATTTTAATATGCTGCTATCAGAGGAAAAAGTTGCTGTGACTAGTCATTCAGTAAAGCTATCAATGTGCAAATAAAGCAGAAAATAGAGACATCCTTAAGAAATGAGTCTCAAATTTGATATAAAGTGAAGGTGACAACCACAGCAATAGAACTATAAACTAAATGTTTCAATATCTTGAATAATTATCTACAGTTCTTTTAAAACTGCAAAGAATATAATAGTGGCATAATGTAGTGAGAATGTCAGTTTGATAGGCACTTACAATCCTGACGGCATAAGAGTCCTATCACTACCGTTTATTAATCAGCTCTGGTATTATGTTTGCAAGGCATGAAAGTATGCATGAACTCACCACAGTTTCCAAAATGTATGCCTACAGAAGAAAGATTAGTGGAACATCAGAAATAAAGAGGGTAATTTTACATGACGTTAACCTTACCTCCTCTTCAAAAAAGTCAGATGCCATGGGAAGATGGTTAAAACTTCTGCTTCTTCCTACAAAGAAAGGAGCACGGAAAAGCAGTTAGTTATTCTACTCACATATAAAATGAATGTTAAATGTATAAAACTTGACCAGATGATATCTCACTCCCCGAACAAGGGGGATTGTCAGAGGATTATGACAGAAGAGCTTTCGAGTGGAGAAAGAAATGCAGTGCTCCAGAGCGATCGCTATAATGAAGCCGGGGACAAATACCGGTGACACCGTGCAGTCGAAAACTGATGAAAGTGCACACCTGTGTGGATTGAGCATGTAAGGGAGCGTGCGAGCCGGGGACGGACCCGTCCCATTTACCGGGGCAGAACCACATGGAGTTTAAAGAGACGAAATTCCGCACACCGCACATGAAAAAATTAAATTAAAAAAAATCAAAACAAAAACAAAACGGAAGGCGAGGGAAACGCAAGAGGATAGAGGCGGGAACGGCCAGACCGAGTGCGGCTCGGCAGCAGTCGAGGAGGAGCCGAGCCCAGTGCGGCCCCGCCAGTCCCGCCCGGAGCTGCCGGGACCCGCGCGGGGCCAGGGCCGAACCGCGCCGCCCGTCAGGGGGCGCCCCGCGGCGGGGCAGCGCCGGCACCGAGCGCCAGAGCGGCCCCCGGGCCCCGCTCCCTCACCTCGGGCCCGGCTCAGCGCAGCCGGGCTGCCCCGGGCCGGGATCAGCACAGCTGGGTCGGGCCGGGCTCAGCGCAGCCGGGCTGCCCCGGGCCGGACCGAGCTCAGCGCAGCCGGGCTGCCCCGGGCCGTGCCGCTCCGGGCCGGGGGCGGCAGCCGCGGGCCGCAGCGCCTCCGCGCGCCGTCCTGTCAGCGCCGCCTCCGGATTCCGCCGCAACCGCGCCCGTGATGCCACCGCCCCTCCACACCCCGCGCTGAGGGACAGCTCCGCGGGCCCGTGGAAGAAGCGGAGCGCCCGCCGCTGGCGGGGGCACAGCCAGTCATGCGCCGGGACGGCCGGGGGCGGGCCTGGCGGGGCCGCGGCCTGATGGGTACTGTAGTGCAGGGCAGGGGACGGGGTTGACTTCGCTGTACGGCGGGCAGCGCCCGCCCCGCCGGCTTCGGTCCTGAGGCGTCCCCCCCGAAGGCAGTGCGGACAGCGCGCCCTTCCCGCCCAGCCCCGGCTCTGCAGCGCGGCCGCTCGGCGGGTCCCAGCCTGCGCCCGGCTGGGGGCTCTGGATGCTGCCGCCGGGACGGAGCCCCGGAGAAGGAGGGAGGGAGGGAGGGAGGGACGGACGGAGAAAGCGGGGCGGTGTCGGTGTCGCCTCCACAGCGACGCGGAGAGCTCCTGCCCCGGCCTGCCCGTTTTAAAACACAGCCCTGCTCCTCGCGTCTTCGCATACGCCCCGCGGGGGAGGGCAGCGAGAGCATTAGGGTCGGGAAATGCAAAAGTTAAAAAATAAAATTAATTCTGAAAATATAAATCTTATGCTATCTCTCCCTTCCCTCGACCGAGAAAGGCACGGCGGATCCCGATGGCCAGGGGTCCGCGGCCGCTGGGGCAGCTCCTTTCCTCAACTGCAAGGGAACAAATATGCGAGGAGGGAATAAATCGGGATATGTTTCTATTGAGAAATATATCTGGTGGAATCACAGGAGATTACATCTTCTGATCGGCAGGGATTTATCCCGGTTCATATGGTTTTAATCTGCTTTCGCCTCGACCCTTCATTGAGCCGAGGGCGGGGGGAGGATACCCGGTGTGTTCCTTAGATCCGCGGGCAAACCCTCGCTCTGAGCGGTGTCTGCGGACCCATCTCAGCCCCCTCCGCTCCCCTCCGGATCGCCCTTCTCCTGCGGCCGGCGCTGGGAGTCTAAATCCAAGCCCTCCGCGAAGCTGATCCCCGCTCCTGGCCGGACCCCGCCGCCGCTCCTCCCGCACAGCCGCCGCAACAGGTCCGGTGGCGGGGTGGCCCCTGTCCCCGGGAGGGACCAGCCGAGCAGCCCAGGGACAGGGCTGCGGCTCTTCCCCGACGAAAACCTCCTTTTTTGTTAAGAAAATCAAAACTAACAGCACCAGCGGTCCGCCGTATATCCCACCTCCAATGATTTAGCGGAGGGAGGGGCAGGGGCAGAGAGCACGAGGAGGGGTGGCTGTGGAAGAGGGGGAGCCGGGCGGCTAATAAATCTTATTAAAGATCTATTTTTTTTTTTCATATACTGATTGGCTTGCATTCCGGCGCAACGCGGCTCCGCACGGTATTTAGCACATGCAGAAAGTTGGAGCTGATCTTAAATGGCTCGGAGGTGACTGCAATCCAGGAGCCGGCGCACTTGAGCCTCTGAGCGCTGGGGAGGGCCAGGGAAGCGCGGAGCCCTCCCGCTGGTTGGGCCCGGCCGCGGCAGCCCAGCGGGGTCCTGCCAGTCCTTCCACTGACAACACCCCGCGAAGGAGGAGCCTCGCCGGGCCGTGCTGAAGGCGTCAGGAGCTGCAATTTCCAACTTAGCATCTTGGCAGGACCCTTCGGAAAGCGAGAGCGAGGAGGAAGGGGGAAAAAAAAAGCCCCCCAGTGCAAGGGGGAGAGAGAGAGAAAGAGAGGAGGGGGGGAGGGAAAGAGGGGAAAGCGAGGGGGGGAGAAAAAGGAGGAAGCGGTGCCCGGCTGCAGGCGAAAGCGGAGCAGCAGCCCCGGCGCAGAGCAAGGTGCCGCCTCTGCCCAGCTGGCGAGGGCGGAGAGGCGCCCGCGAAGCCCCGGCCGCAGCCGCCCCAGCCCGGCAGCGCGGCGGCTCCCTCCCGGCGCCTTGGGCTCCCGGGTATATGTGCGCGCCTGGCCATGTCGTATCCTCAGGGTTACTTGTACCAGCCGTCAGCGTCCTTGGCTCTCTATTCCTGCCCGGCGTACAGCACCAGCGTGATCTCCGGACCCAGGACCGATGAACTTGGGAGATCTTCTTCGGGCTCCGCTTTTTCCCCTTATGCCGGATCTACCGCCTTTACCGCCCCTTCCCCGGGTTACAACTCCCACCTCCAGTACGGCACCGACCCGGCCGCCGCCGCCGCCGCCGCCTTCACATCCTACGTGGTAAGAGCAGCCGCGGGCAGCCGACACCGCGCCGGGCACGACGGCATCCCGTGGGCGCCTGTCCCCCCCTCCCGGGCCTGCTTTTTGTTCCCATTTTATTTTTGAGATCTCGGGGACAAAAGGGAGCGCGGCTCACCGCCTCGCCGCCCAACTTTCCCGCATCGCCGCCGTGCCCTGCCTCACACTGTTGCTGGCGGCAGCGGCGGGCAGGGCCGGGCGCGGGGGGAGCCGCCGGCACGGCCCGGGTGAGCAGGACCATGGCAGGCGGGAACCGGTTTCATTCCCTTAAAAAAAAAAAATTAAATGTGTAAAAACCACCAATCATAGTTCTGCAACAATTAGCTTGTTGTGATTGAAAAGGGAATGAATTCAGGACGGGTCGGCGATGGGAGAAATGCGGGTGATAAATCCAGGCAACTTTCCCCTGCCCGGCGATAATTAGGCTTAAATATTGCAGAGCTCTAATCCCATGGCCGCGAGCTGCTCCGCGGGGCTGCGCGGGGAAGGGAAGGGAAGGGGAAGGCAGGGCACTGCGCCGCCGTGCGCGCCCGCGGGGCACCGCGGGGCCAGTGCGAGTGCGGGACATCCACACCGCAGGGCTGCGGCCACAGCCAACGCCCCTCAATTCTCCCCAAAAACCGGCGACTTTGGCTCAGCTTCTCGTCTGTGTTTAGGGCAGAGTTTTACAGTTCCTTCTTTCCTTTTTCCGTATCTTTTCTTTAGCCTTTTTATTGTTTGCCCTTCATCTCCCCCTTTTTTGTTTCTCTTTTATCTTCTTTTCTTCTCTCTTTTCTTCTTGCTTTTATTTTTTCCTCCTCCCGTCCCTGGGCAGGGAGGAGCGGCCCAGGCCGCCTGGGCCCAGCAGGTTGTCTGCCGCGATCGCAGGGCGGGGGGAAGGCTCCCGTCCCCTTGCTGCTGTCCGCCCCCACGCCGCGCTGCCCACTTGCTTTTCCGCTCCTGCATTTGGGGGAGAACCGCTGGATTGCTGCAAGCAGCCGGCGGTCTCCTGGGCTCGGAGACTACGGGCCCCGGAGAGCCCCCAGGGCCCTTCCTCCCGGGAAAGAATCGGGGGACAAGCCGGGCAGGGCCCGGCGGCGGGGGAGAGGCTGCGGGGCGCGGGCAGGGGCTGCGGGCAGGCCCTGGTGCTGCCTTTGCCCTGTCATTGCCGCCCGCGGCCGCTGACCTCGCCCCGCCGGGCCGCTGTCCCCTCTCTCCCCAGGGCTCGCCCTACGACCACACGCCGGGCATGGCCGGTTCCCTGGGGTACCACCCGTACGCGGCGCCGCTCGGCTCCTACCCCTACGGGGACCCCGCGTACCGCAAGAACGCGACGCGGGACGCCACGGCCACCCTCAAGGCCTGGCTCAACGAGCACCGGAAAAATCCCTACCCCACCAAGGGCGAGAAGATCATGCTGGCCATCATCACCAAAATGACCCTCACCCAGGTCTCCACCTGGTTCGCCAACGCGCGGCGGCGGCTCAAGAAGGAGAACAAAATGACCTGGACCCCACGAAACCGCAGCGAGGACGAGGAGGAAGAGGAGAACATCGACCTGGAGAAAAACGACGAGGACGAGCCCCAGAAACTGGAGGAGAAGGGGGACCCCGGGACTCCGGACACAGGTAGGACAGCGGGCCCGGCGGGGTCAGCGCGGCCGCGCCCTCGGGGCTGCCCCGGCGCGGTGCGGCGGTGTTGGGGCGGCCTTGTTCCCCCGAGCGTGCGGCCGGAGCGGGGGGAGCCGGCGGGCAGCGCCGCGGGCCTGGCCACGGCGGGGACCGAAGGGTGGGCGGCGAAGTGGGTGGGCGGGTTTGGGGGCGCAGGGCGAGACCGAGAGCTGCCCCCCCACCCCTGTCCTTTCTCCCCCTACCAGGAGCGGCGGATCCCAAGGCAGCGCCGGGCTGCGAGCGCCTCCAGGAGTCCCCCGGCCCCCGGGAGGCCGAGAGCGGCCTCAGCGACTCGGATTGCAAAGAGCTGGCGGAGGAGCGGCTCGACGGGCCGCCCGTCCCCCACAAGGCGCCCGGCGCTTCCCCGCTGGGACCATGTCCGGCGGGCCGCGAGGAGCCCCCGCCGTACCGCCCGCCCTCGGCCGCCGCCGGGCCGCCGCACGCCGCCGACCTGCACCCGCTGCTGCCCGCCGCCACCGGCGCCTCTGTCATCCACTCGCCGCAGCAGGCGGCCCTCGCCAAGCCCAAGCTCTGGTCGCTGGCCGAGATCGCCACCTCGGCGGACAAGGCGAAGGAGGCCGGCGGCGAGGCGGCGCCCCCCGGCCCCGCCGTGCTGGGCGGCAGCGGCCCGTCCCGCTCGCCGCCGCGGCCGCGCTCGCCCGCCGCGCAGTGCCCCTTCCCCAACGGGGCGGTCCTGCCCCGGCCGCTCTACTACACGGCGCCCTTCTACCCCGGCTACACGAACTACGGCTCCTTCGGGGCCCTGCACGGGCACCCCGCCGGCGGCCCCGCCGCCGCCGCCCCCGGCGCCCACTTCAATGGATTAAATCAGACTGTCCTCAGCAGAGCCGAGAGCCTGGCTAAAGACACTAAAATGATCAGGAGCCAGTCCCAAGTAGACCTTTGCAAAGACTCACCTTACGAACTGAAGAAAGGTATGTCCAACATTTAATATCGCCTATCCCCTCCTGGGACTGTGGTTTTGTTCCTTTTTTTTTCTCCCCTTTTTTAATTTATTTGAGAGAAATAATAAATTGCTTTGGCAGTTATTTTTCCAGTACCAAAAGAAAAACAAAACAAACAGAAAAAGACCAGCTCCCCCCTCCCTCCCAGCCCCTCTTCAAAAGTTTATAGAGTCTATTTGAAATGGCTGGTGGAAACCGCCCAGAAATGTCTTAAGCAAGTGAAAAGCAAACGAGTGACACGCTCTCTCTCACACACACAAAGAAGAAAGATTTGTATTAAATCTTATTCTGTATATTTAATGTAGCTTTTTTGTATTTAAATTGATAATACAGTATCTTTGAAGTAAATTATGAAATCAAGACAACTGTACAGGCATTAATGTTGTTTTCGTAATATAAATATATACATTTCTGTGTCTTTTTCCGAATTGTTTCATAGTTTTAAAATATATATATACAAGTTTAATTTAATTTTTTATGCCTATTGTTTTTTTTCCTTGGGTGTGAGTTAAACTATAATGCAAAAACGAGACAAAAAAAGGAAATAGGTTATACGTATTAGATTTAAAAGAATCCAAACCTGCAGCCGCCTTTGTAAAATGCAAATATTTAATTAAAAGAGATTTTTAACAGAATCAAAACCGCTCTCTTTTTGCAATGGGCAGATACGTGCATAGCTGCGGAAAAATAAAAGCATGTCTTAAAAGAGACGCGGGGCTCCATTTAGGACCTCTCAGTAGTACCTGAAGCCTTTTTGGAAGTGGCAGGAAATTTTTAAGAGGTCGGGGGGCTGCGGAGGCGAGAGCCGCCCGCGGGGCCGGGAGAGGCGAGCGGCGGCGGCGGCGGGACGGGGCCGGGAGCGGGAGGGACGCTGTTCCCAGAGGTGAAGGCTTAAATCAGGCCACGCACAAAGGCACTTGTTAGAAACACCAAATCGAAGCGCAGTCCCATCTTTTAACCTAATTACTTCCAATCAGTGTCGTGTTTTATGCAAAGCAATCAGCTGGTGAACTTTGCTAATGAGTTCGATTTTCTGCCAGATTTAGCCCGCGTCGCTGCAGCGGCGGTGCTGCGGCGGCAGCCGGGGCTGCCCGGGCGAAGGCGCTCGGTGCGGCGGGGGCGGCCGCGGACCCTTTCCCTTTGCCTCTGCCTTGTCCCGCCGCCCGGCCCCGGTGGCGGCCCCGCGGTGCCCGGCCCGCGCTCTGGGGCGCTGCCGGCGGGCCCGGGGCGCGCAGCCCCGCGCAGGGCGGGCGCGGGCGCGGTGCTCCCGGCGCTGGCAGGTAGGTGTCACACTCGGCCCGGCTTTGGCTGCCGCCGCCCGCTCGGCCGTGCGGGAGTCCCGCGGGGCCGCGCTCCGCTCCGCGCTGAGGCCGCAGAGCCGCGGCCGGTGCGGGACAGGCGCCGCGATCCCGGGGCAATGCCACCACAAATCCCTTGGGTGCGGGGACAGAGAGCGCCCCGAGCCCCCCCGCGCCGTTCTGCTGCTCCGCAGCCCCAGGCAGGGGGAAGCTGTCCCCGAGCGGATTCGGGGCTCTCCAGCGTGGAACCCCCAAGCAAAAGTCAGCTCCCGCTCGTGGGGCTGCCCCAGCAGCCCGGGTCCCCTGCAAAGGAATAGTGGCGAGGGCTGCTCCAGCACTGCGGGAACGGGTCCCTCCTTGTGCCGTGTGCATTTTGGGGTGTCAGCTATACGCTGACATCCACACTGCTGATGTGATGGGAGTACGACTGGGACCTCTGGGGCTGGTGCCGAGACACCCCTCCGTTTGCTTGGATTTTTTTTTTCTTTACGAGCCAGATAATTATTTTGTAATCTCCTCAACTTTGTCAGAGCCATTTATTAGCTGTAACAGGTTTATTCATGCATATTTACATTTAAGGGAATTTAAATAGTAGTTTGTATTTTGAGTTTTAAAGATGTTCGCTTGGTTTTACGATTTTTTGTAGATAATTTGGTTTAAAATCAAAATTGTTTCAACTGAACGTTCAAAGAATCAAATACTCCTGGGATAATAGTATGTTATTTTGCCATTCTCTTAATGATAAATGATTTTTTTAAAAAACGCTCGAATTCCTCCGTTGGATATTTCATTTCCAGTCAGTGAGACCTGCAGGAAGGAGTATTTTTCGTGCAGCAGTGAGCTTTACTGGACTCACCTGCCTTGTTTAAACGGGACAAAGTTCTGGCAGCGAGGGGCAGGGTAGCGCTGGCCCCTGTGCCAGAGGGAGCGACAGAGCCCCTCAGGACCGCGCTCCCCAGACAACAGGTTCCGCAGAGGAACGACTAACCTCAAAATAAATAGGTTTCAATTATTCATCTAGCTATGGATTTTTTTTAATTGTCGCGCTACCTTTCCACAGATGATCTTCCGATCTCAGAAAAAGCTATTTTGCAAAGCAGCTTAGGAGCTTCGCTCGTTCAAAAGCCTTATTCCTTATACTCAGGGCTATTCTGAATAGGTCTATTAGCGATCTCAATATGGTTTTCGTTTGATGTATAAATTCCTAAGGGAATTAACCGTTTCCTTTAGGTTGCAGCCTGTCGCCTATTTTAAACCATAACTATTATTGTAGCCCAAACGATTTCATACAACAATTTTATTCATCACCCTTTTCCCCTGCCACAGGAGATATACTGTATAGCCATCCTTTAACATAAGCACGAATTTACCAGTTTCTTTCCCGTAACAGAGTAGGGGGGAGGGGGCAGCATTCGCCTTTTTTGCCTCTGGCATGTTAATTTGTTGTTTAAAAAAGGAAAAAAAAAGACGTGAGGATATATTAAAATAAAAATAACGCCTGCTGCCAGTTAGAGCTGCCGCGGGTTACTCGGAACAGCTCTCGGAGCAGCCGGGAGCGACTCTCCCGCTGGGAGCAGAGCCCTCCCGGGCCGCGGCTGCCCCGCGGAGCTTTGGGGAGCGAGGGCTTCGCTGCCGCTGCGAAGCGCTTTTTGGGCAGCTGAGGGGGAAGAGAGGGGATGGAGGTGGGCTCCTCCAGCCTGGGCTTTCATCAGCTCGCCTGGCAGCAGGTGCTTGCCCAGGGGTGCAGGTGGGAACGGCCCAAGCTCCGCTCCCGGAAGAAAGCGCTGGCCCCTTTCCATGCCCGCTCCTTCCCCTTGCCGTCCCGGGCCCCACGGCACGGCCCTTGCTGGGGCGGGGGCGCCGCGACCCCTTCGCTGCCCGCCTGGACGGCGCGGGTGGAGCGGCGCAGGTGGCAGCGGGGCCGCCCTGTCCCGCAGGTGACAGTCCCACATCTCCCCAAAACCCCCCAGCGCGGCCGACAGGCGTGGTGGCGTGGCTGGCCCGGCTGGGCCCACAGGAACAGCTCAGTCCCCAGGTCCCGACCGCGGGCCGAGGATCCGGGACCCCAGAGGAGACGAGCGGGGGCTCCCGGCGGCAGGCGGCACTCGCCGGGCAGGGAGCGCAGCTCCCCTCGGGGAGCGGGGGTCGTTCCCCTCCTCGCCCGTCCCAGCCAAGCGTCTTGACCCCGGGGAAGGATGAGGCTTCCCCGGAGAAAGCCGGGCAAGTGTCCCGAGGTCAGGCGTGCCCGTTCCGATGGGCCTACCGACGCCTCAGCCCGCCCGGGATGAGGGACCGACCTCAGGTGGACTGCGAGCCCAGGGCTGCAGCCACTGGTCCCATCCATCCCAGCCACGGCAAAATTCTCTCAGTCCTGGAAGGAGAGAGACAGAGCTGGGGGTGCGGCCCAACACAGCCCCCGGGCTCGGGCAGGGAGTCCCGGGTACCTCCAGCCCCGATTCTCGATCGCGGGGACGGAGGGCGAGAGAGGCGGGGAGCCTGGCGCAGCCCTGCTGCTTCCTCCTTCACGCTTAAAAACAAAACAAATCCTAATTTAGACCCTCAACACCCCGGACCGTGTTTACATCCCCCCCGCTGCTCTCCCCGCGAGTGTTGCCTTTCCAATTGTCACGATTAACCTACGGGGCTCCCGCTCGGCGCGGAGCCTCCGCCGCGGCCGGGACGGCGCGGTCGCGTCTAATTGGCTTATTGGAGCTCCCCCCGCACACCTCCCCCGCCCCGGCGAGAGGTTCTGAGCAGCATCTTCTCTTGCCGTGCCTAGGAAGTACGTGAAAGCCCCTCTGCCAAGAAAACACGGGAAATCACACGGTCAGCAAGTTTAAAGGAGACGAATAAAAAAATATCACAGGGGTTTGCAGAAGGGAAAAGTAGAGGAACTTCAACGCAAAACTAAGACGAGTTTAGGAAAAAACAAAAACAAAAACGAAAGAAAACAAAGGAAAATTCATCCCCACGGCCCGGTCCGGCCGGCGCCCAGCGCGGGTGCGCAGCCGCGGGTATTCCTCAGCCGGGGTGCGGTGCGCCCGGCTCCGCAGCGTTCCGCCCGGCTCCGTGGTGTTCCGCCCGGCTCCGCAGCGTTCCGCCCGCCCCAGCAGCAGCAGCCTGGCTCGGGCCAGGCTTGGAGCCGCACGGGAGTGCTGGGGAGCCCGCCCGCCCCCCTCACCATCCCCCTCCCGCTCCCCTCTTTCTGTGACCTGCCACGATTATTAGTAAGGACATCTGTGGCTGGCAAGGGAACAAGTGTTACCAAAACCAGAACCGGCTGTTTTTCCAAATGAGCAATATGTTAATTCCTCATCCCCCCTCTGGTTTCTTTAAAACCTGGCACAAATACATCAATGGCGGAGAATAAGGAGCCTTTGCAGAGAACAAGTGGCAGTTTTGAATTTACCTTTTGTGTGCGCCTCAGATGCAATCTTGAGGCATTTTTTCCCTTCTCTCCCACAGAAAAAGAGTGTTAATCTGCCCTATCTTGGGACCCAAAAGGATTGGAGTGGAGTAGATATTCACTGGAATCACATAGGGGAATAAGGGTCTTGCTTTATTGAATCATCAAATCCCAGGAATGAAGCTCTTAATTAATTATGGGTGCTAAAAATTCAGGCCAGCTGTTTCTTTTTACTTGGCTCTGACAGAGAAAGACAAAGTCTACATCGAGATCTTCTAAGGCG